AGCATTAATAACAGCAGCTTCGATGAGCTCTTCCTTCTGTTCTGCGGCCATTTTCCTCCATTTGACGTGCATTGATAACATTACCTAACAATTTTTCTGCGCACTCTCGGAACAAAACTATTGTGGACAATGTACCAGACCCTCCCAGCCGTCAACCCAAATGACCGTAGGCGGGGAGGGTCTGGCTTGCGAGACTAACAGTGATGGCCTTCTTGTTATGCAGTTGGCTAGCTGTCATTCACATCATAAAAAGGGACAGAACTTCTCTTTTTATCATTTCTCCGTGGAAAGATAGGTATATAGCTGCTATCATTACTGGTTATCAACGAAGTAGACCAGCAGACAGTCACAGGTAGGTCAGTACTTATGAGTTTTATTATTGTACAAACACCATGATAATCCCAAGCATAATAGATAATGTACTATCAGTATTTTGATTACAATAAAGTTGAAAAACAAGCCTATAGAACAAGTGCTCTACAAAGATACAAGAGGGGCTGTTGCTAGCTAGAGCCAGAGAAGTCATTACATTGGACCGAGGGGCCCGCAACTAAGAAAAATCTCGTACACTTCCTAAATAATCCAAAAAATCCAGTAGAAAATCCAATAATCCAGCAAAAAATCCAATAATCCACAGAAATCCAGCAATGATAATCCAAGTGATAATCCACAAATAATCCAAAAATCCAATCAATAATCCAAAAAAATCTAGTTACAATATCCGGAAATTTACTAAAAATAGTTTAACTATTACTAATAGTCATTTAAAATCAATAATGGTTAATTAACTTTAATAACATGGTGGCTGCTGGTTATTAAGTGCAATAACTATTAATAATTATCCACAAATAATCCAAAAATCCAATCAATAATCCAAAAAAATCTAGTTACAATATCCGGAAATTTACTAAAAATAGTTTATTAACTATTACTAATAGTCATTTAAAGTGAATAATGGTTAATTAACTTTAATAACATGGTGGCTGCTGGTTATTAAGTGCAATAACTATTAATAATAATCCATAAAATAATCCAATAATCCACAAAAAATCCAATAATCCACAAAATAATCCAATAATCTAGCCAAAATCTTGGTGGATTTTTACTTTTGGAGACAGTTGTGGACCCCTCGCATTGGACTCAAAGGAGTAGGTTCACTGCTGGTATTCTAAATGCCAACAGGACAAGAAACAGAGTGCTAAAAACGAGGAATGAAATTGGTACCAGTGGCAGATCTAGGGGGGGTTCCAGAACGTTCCATGGAACCCCCCTTTGGTAGAAAAAGTTGTTATTTTCAGTGCCATGCAGCACTTTTCCTCCATTTTATTAATTAAAATTGATGAGCCACACCCAAATTTTAATTTAAATTAATTAGCCACACCTACTTAAGTGAAATGGAAACCCCCCCTTCCTTTTAATTTTTCTGGATCTGCCAGTGGGTACATATTGTTTCTGCAGGGAACACAAGGGAAAGATGATTGCTTGCAATGGTACATCCTATATAACTGTCACAGTGAATGGTTCCACCACAACTTAATGCATTAGGGATACTGTCCATATTGTTGTAAAGTGGTTTTATTACAAGTATAATTGATTACTATGTTATTATTATTTTCCAGTAATAAAATTTTTCTGAAACAAGTATTTCCATAACTGAAGTTTGAACCCTCATCCACTATGGTCAGCAAAATAAAGACATAGCAACTTCCAACAACCTACCTGTTGTAATATTTATATGAATCTAAACTATTATAAGCCTTCATTGCTTTCTATGTCCCCAAGCTGACTGCAACTGAGGCTACTTCTCGATGTTATCAATCCATTCACAAATCTGGTATTGGTCTAATTGATCACAGTACTTCTGACCACTGATCCATTCTACTTCAGCATTATAGAGTCAGCAACCTACTATCGCACACCATCGATATTCGAACACTTTTTCTCACAGTTCAGTGATCAGAAGCCAGTGGCTATAATTTTATCTTGTAGATCAGATGTTCCTCTACAGCTGTAACAACTTTCATAGAGATCAGTCTTTGCTGTGTTTTTATAATAATTTTTTAGTAGAAGTTTCGAACACATGCAAGTTCGCATTGACGCCATGTATTGTCGTTCACCTATTTTCGCTCAGTAATGAAGTAACTGGCAAACAATTCATCATATTCATATGAAAGCCCTGTCTTTCTGCTCCATGATGCACTATTCAGTA